AAGCTGAAAAAACTGAATTCAGAATGCAGGCCAGAATTCACTTCCATTCAGCACATTGCAGATGGCAAGGCACCTTACGTCGTGGCCTCGACCAAGTCAGCGATACTAACACCAATAGGCAGGCGCCCCCTGATTGCAGCCAGGTACATTGAGGAGGAGGGAGAATGGCAGGTGGCTAGCGATGTTTCCTTCACAATTCCCAGGCTTGATGAAGGACAGAACGTAGCCAAAATCCTCCAAGAAAAGGTAACGGAAGGATTCCCAATGGGCCTGTATGAAACAATCGATTCCTACAGCAGTCTGAGGCCAGCTCCTCCCAAGCAGCCAATGGGGAGCAACAGGGTCACCAGATGGACGGGGAACGACACACCCCCGACGCCTTCTCTCCCATGATAGCCAAAACGCTAGCGAATACCCAACTCAAGAGTGGAATGATGTGGAGACCATGGAGGACTTTTCACATCGATTCCTTACAGTGTCCTCACAGGTCCGGGAATTCCAGCAGAACTGCTGGCGGTTTTGGTGGCACGACTCTTGAGCTCTGGCATCTTGAGTCGAGACAGCTCTCTGGAGTCCAAAGCTCTCACCATGGATCTGGACAGGTCCTACAGAACAGACTATTCTGAGGATGATATGGAAGAATGGCAGGAGGATGAGATCGTCTCGAAACCGGCCTTGTCTATGGACCAGGGAACTAGTGGAAGCATTGGAGAATACAAGATAGATGACACCACCACCAAAGCACAGCAGGACCCGTCGGATAAGTCCATGTCCACTATGAAGGAGACCGACCAGGGCCCTTCCTAGAATCCTTAACACCATGATCCCAATCTCACGACGGTCCTACTGCCATAATGACGGAAATCTTTAGAAAAAGGGCAAATGCTAAGGAGGAGCGAGTGACTTGGAAGACACAAGGGATAGTCATCAGAAGTTGGAACGTCAATGGGCTGGGCAACATAATGGACAAAGAAGTGAAAATGAACGACATAATCAAAGGATCGACTGTCCACACAAACAAACTGTGGATATAATCCTGCTACAAGAAATACACCTCACCACATCAATAGAACACGAGAATCCGAAAAGCACTAACAACGAAGTTGGGAGGGGTCGCAAGTGAAGTGTGGTCATCATACAATGCATCAAGCACGAAAGGAACCACCATCCTCATACACAAATCTTTCCGCCTCTTCACGGCAGGTTCGTTCATGGGAATGGATGCAGATGCAACATAGGGCAGATGGTGCCTCATGGACTTGAAATGGAAGGAGGAGGAATTTAGAGTAATCAATGTGTACGCACCAAACAACCCCTCTGAGAGAACAACTTTTATTACGAACACTGGTCACTTGATCACCCCCCTAACACCTTGTATCTTAGCAGGGGACTGGAATGCGACATTGGATCCCTCCACCGACCGTATCTCCAGATCAACAGCCAACCTCGATGGTCAACAAGGCCCTATCCTTCATCCACAGTCTTTAGCCCTACTCAACCCGTGTGGGTTTGGTCAACAAGGCCCTATCCTTCATCCAAAGAGTCCTATCACCTGGACAGAAGAGACTCGATGCAGAAAGAAGAGACAGACTGACTTGACTCAGCAAGTACCACAGGGTGTGTGCACATCCATAGGGCGAGGGGTTAGGCTGAAGGCTTGGCGAGAGTATATCGGCTCCAGCTTGGTCAAAATCGTGGTCAACAGTCTTGGTCAATGCCTTGGTCAACGCTTAGTCAATGTTGTAGTCAACCCCCAGTCAACTCCCGGTCAACTCCCGCCAGCTCCGGTCAACTCCAGTCAACGCCCGGTCAACTCCTGGTCAACTCCCAGTCAACTCTCCCGGTCAACTCTTCGGCCGGCTATGGCTGCCGCCTTCTTCTTCCTCACCAACCTTCTCCTTCCTTCCTCCTTACTCGCCTCTCTCTTCTTCCACCCCCTTTATCTTCTTCTTTCTCTTTTTTTTTTTTTTTTTTTTTTTTCTCACTTCACCTCCTCAACTATGGTGTCCTAACTCTTCTCGGTCTCTCCCTCTCCGTCTCTCTTCTCACATCCTCCTTCGTGACTTTGTGGCTGAGCTCCGCAGCTATGGCCGCCTCTTCACTTCATGGGGCTGCACAACGCTCTTCAACAGGTAAGTGACAACCAATCTTTTATCACTCTCTCTCTCTCTCTCTCTCTCTCTCTCTCTCTCTCTCTCTCTCTCTCTCTCTCTCTCTCTCTCTCTC